ACGGGTGTGTGAGTGTGTGTGTGTGTGTGTGGGTGTGTGTGTGTGTGTGTGTGTGTGTGTGTGTGTGTGTGTGTGTGTGTGTGTGTGTGTGTGGTGGTGTGTGCGTCTCCTGTAGCACAGTTTCAATGCTTCTGGATCAGTGAGGCAGTGCTTGGCAGGTCCAGCCGCTCAGGAAGAGAAAAAAGGGAAGCAATCACTAAGAATAATCACACTGCAGCAGGAATTGGATTTGCTAGAAAGGACTGTTATTGGCTGCCTGTGTGTGTGTGTGTGTGTGTGTGGGTGTGTGTGTGTGTGTGTGTGTGTGTGTTGTGTGTGTGTGTTTTTTTTGTTTGTGTGTGTGTGTGTGGGTGTGTGTGTGTGTGATCGTGCACTCACAGCTCAGCTCTGGTATCCCCCTTGGCGAGTAGCATTTAGAATTACTTAAGCCTTCACTGCAGATAATTAGCATTTTCAGCGGCTATCACACTGCAGATCAGAGCAGCACGCTGTGAGCTTCGGTGTCGACAGCGTGCTGTGCATTGCCGACCTTGGAATGCAACACAAACATCACATATCACATGCTCCTGTTTTGGTCCCACAAGAGGACGAGAGCCTGTTTTTCTCTTCGTGTGCCCGTCCTATCACAGCCAACTTGTTGTACTTGAAATGAGGAAGAGTAGAAGGATGAAGCAGTTTTCAAAATGTTTCTCCTCTCTTCTTTCTGTACAGTGACACCAGCTGTTAGCTGCTATTGCTGCTCCTGTCCTACCCGAGTCAGTTTTTTTTGCACCCTGAAGCAGTCCGCACCATGACCTCCTCTCCGCTGGTTTCTCGAGCCAACATGGACATCCTGGATGAGCTGCAGCTGATTGCTGCCCAGAATTTGGAGAGACTAGAGGTCAACAAGTACTACGAGGTGATCAGAGAGCTGGGCAAGGGAACCTATGGCAAGGTGGATCTGGTCATACACAAGATCAGAGGTAAGGGACCACCACAGAGTACATGACGTCTTAAGTGATTGCGCTGTCACCTTTTTGTTTTGGTCTCTGCACCTTAAGTGTAATTTCGCTTTTGGCTCCTAATGAGATGTCCCTTTGTTTAGACAGAAGTGTTAATAGTTAGATTAGAGGATGGAGTGCTAAATTGCAAGCTTGGTTAAATAACTGCATTCATAAATGTACAGACAGAAACCTCCTTAGTGAAAAGTTACAGACTAATAATTAAAATAGCAGAAATCTCAAGCACGGTCTTCTTGGATAGACGACAACACCCCCAACTGGTCACGGCAGATGGCTGCACCTCCCTGAGCCTAATTCTGCTGGAGGTTTCTTCCTGTTAAAAAGGAGTTTTTCCTTTCCACTGTCACCAATTGCTTGCTTGAAGGGGGTCATCTGATTTCGGGGGTTTTCTCTGTCTTTACCTAACAATATAAAGCGTCTTAAGACCCCTGTTGCTGTGATTTAGTGACATAAATAACGCTGAATTGAATTCAAAGAGTTTCAGTTCACTCCAATCAGCACAGGGGTTTAACTTTAAGCCTCAACAAAATCTAAATAAGTGAGTAATTTAAAATAATACCTCAGTAAAGTCGTGATACAAAAACAGGTTTTTTTTGTGCATCTGTAAAAAAACATCTGTATTTTTCCCAAAAGGTACAAAAATGGCACTGAAGTTCCTGAAGAAGAAGACAACCAAGCTGAAGTCTTTTCTACGGGAGTACAGCATCTCCCTGTACCTGTCTCCGTGCCCCTTCATCATCAACATGTTTGGCATCGCCTTTGAGACCGACGAGTACTACGTGTTTGCACAGGAGTACGCCGTGGCGGGGGACCTCTTCGATATAATTCCTCCACAGGTGCTGATTCGCAGATAACGATAGTAATACAGATGATTACTGATCCACAGTCAGAAGAAAGTTGGCTTAAAACTGTAAAATCCTCTGAATAAAATAGTGCTTTTCCTTTCTTTGGCCCTCAAGGTCGGTCTTCCTGAAACAGTAGCAAAGCGCTGTGTACACCAAGTAGCCATCGCTCTGGACTACCTGCACTGTAAGAAGCTGGTCCATCGGGACATTAAGCCTGAAAACATCCTCATCTTTGACCGAGAGTGCCGCAAGGTCAAGCTCTCTGACTTCGGAATGACTCGCCGGGCTGGCTCACCAGTGAAAAGAGTGAGTAGTGTTTGAGTTTTGTACGTTTTTATATTCGCACGTTTCCTCCAGTGACTGTAACCTGTTGGGTTTCCCCTCCAGGTGAGCGGCACCATCCCCTACACAGCTCCGGAGCTCTGCGATGTGTCCCGCCATGAGGGCTTCTGCGTGGACTACAGCACTGACGTCTGGGCCTTCGGTGTGCTGCTGTTCTGCATGCTGACCGGTAACTTCCCTTGGGAGAAGGCTCTGCCCTCTGACTCTTTCTACCAGGAGTTCATCCGTTGGCAGAGGAGGAGGACGAACACGGTGCCGTCGCAGTGGAGGCGCTTCACCGAGCAGGCCCTTCGCATGTTCCGCCGCCTGCTATCGGTGGAGCAGGACCGCCGCTGCTCCGTCAAAGAAGTGTTCGGGTACTTCAGCCACTCCTGGATGTTAGACGCGGAGAACGATAACAACAATGGCAACACGGTTGCTGGAGGTGGCGGCGAAAGAGTTAGTGGCGGAGGCGGCGGCGGCGGTGGAGGAGGTGGAGGGGGAGGAGGAGTCCGTGGGGAGGTGGACGGCACAATCTCGTCATCATCGTCCGGGGAAGAAGACGAGGAGCTTCTCGTGGAGAGGATGAAGCAGCAGACTCTGTCACCTCGCTCCCCAGTGTCGCCCCTCTCTCCCATGTTGCCAATGGCGGTGAAGAGGGGGAGCGGAGGCAGCGGGGCCAAAGGAGGGATGATGGAACCCGGCGGGGGCCACCATTTCGTGTCCGTCTCCACCAACAGCTCCGTGTCATCCACCAACAGCTACGATCGAATGCCCCGAGAAAACGGCTCACCTGGCGGCCGCATGCTAGTGCCGACACCCATAGAAATCTGCGTCTGAGCATGTCAGGGCTCACCGGCACACACTTTTATACCTCTCATCCAACCACGTAGATGTTCATGCATGGGAAAAGAAACAAAGCGATAACAAAGCACTAACACATCTCCTGTTTTAAACATTGTGGGAAAGGAAGAGCGCAGACACACACGCGCCGGAGGACTTCCGAGGACGTCTTTGTAGAACGCACACATTCCTCATGATTGGTCGAATGTCCTGTTTTAACACTTGGAATTCAAGGACACGTTCAAAATGCAAGTGTAGAAAAATGAAGAAAAAAACGCTACATTAGAGATTTCAACACTAAATCGATCTGACAAGAAGACCAAAATATATTCCTTAAAGCAATACTTGCAGCAAAAAAAATGAATTAAAATAACATAAAAAGATAAAAAAGTCAGCAGGAGTTGGGCAGAACTCCTCGTGATCTCTTCAACACTGATAAGAAGGTTTTTTTTAAGAAGCCAAGGGACAAAAGATTCGTGTTTTTGACCGAAACAGAGCTCAAGCTAACACCTTACAAGATAAAAAGACTGACTGAGCCGTGGTTTCAGTGTTTTACTTGTAACAAGAATATGAAAGTGTGAATGTGTCCGTGTGCGTCGCCGTGCGTTTGAATCTAAAACAAGTAGTTTAATTTTTCTTTGAGAATTTTATTATTTATTTGAATCTTTAAAAAAAGAAGAAAAAAAAAGACTAGAGGTGCTGGAAAGCAGCCACTCTATATGAGCAGACACTTGGATTGGCTTTATATTTACAGCAGCCTCCTCATCATCAACACACTCGCCTGCCATTCCATGTACTTCACATATCTCATATTCTCCGCACACATCCACAGATGGATAACATTTCATTGCACAGTCTGGTTTTAGATGCAGAAAGTAACATTCAGTTGTATGCATCACAACGTTAAGTTGCCAACTATGTGATCAAACACACACACACGCAGCAATGTGCTACTTTAAGTACCCCGTCGCCCCTCCACAGCCCTCTGCGTTCTCTGTGGGAGTGTAATCTTTTTTGCGTGTGAAGCGGACAGGAAGAGAGGCTGACGGCAGCAGGTGAGGAGAGATGAGTCAGTTTGGGTGATAAATGGCAGTACAGAGAGGATGTACTGTATCTCTCTCTCTCCTCTAAATAAAAGCTCTTGGGTGCATGTGATAAAAACACACATGCACAGGAGGGAGTTGTAAACAGAAGAGACCATTTGTTTCTGCCGGGGATCAGAAGTGCTTACTGTAGCACTGCAGGATTGTGCCTCGTTCTTTTTCTGAGTGTGCGTTTGGCTCTGGTATGTTATCACGATAACATTCATAAACGTACAATGTATATTCAGTCAATAATAACTACTTAAAGCTGCAAATTCAACCAAGCTAGCTGTTTTGAGTGAAAACTGGGGCAGTATATTTGAACTTTTCCATTTTTTTTCCATTTAGCTCCATCAAAAAGTGCTAAATAACTGAATAAACAATTTAAACTGATTTTCCAATAACTAATTAATTATTTTACAACAAGAATTACAGTTATGAGTAAATAGTGATATAGTGATTTAAGTGTTGCTAACAGTGTTATCTCTCTGTAGATGAGGAACCCAGAAAAGCCACAGATATTGACACTCTGCAATGCTTAGAGCTAATTAGCACCAGTTAGCAAGCGCTAATGAGTCCTAAAGATGCTAACAGCTACCACAAAGATAGAAAGGGATTGTATTTCTCACATTGTTGTAGTTCTATCCTTTATAATATAAAGTGCCACTGTTTGAATAAAACCAAACTAGATTTAAACATGCAAAAAGACGTGCTGTGGTGGTTTGTACCATCGCGTCACAGCAAGAAGTTTCTGGGTTCAACTCTACGGTGCAGCTTGGACTTTTCTGGAGCTTTTTGGTTTCCCCCCACAGACATGCATGGTGAGTTAATGGGTGAATCTAATTTTTATCTAAATGGATAAAAAACTAAAGTTGTGGACGCAGTAAACATGTTGCAAAAAAGGAGGAAACATGCACACTATTTGGCACCAAGTGTATCTTCAGAAAAATGGGAATTACAGTGGCTGTGAAGATACCACACATGACCCAGGCTGACAAAAAGGCCCAGTAATCATCTCCTGAACCCATATCTATTAATGCCATTGTACTGGTTCAGTTGTCCAGCACAGTCTGCAGACCTTTAACGACTGGCTAATGTGATTTAACTTATTTCGTACCTCTTTACTCAGGACTCCCTGGAAAGCAATATTAATACTGAATTGATTTCTGCCTTAGGTCTGATGATCTTGACTAGATTGAGTCCCTAATCATTTTAAGCATAACCGGATTAACACACTTCCACTGTGCTCGACCAATTCGTTTAATGGAGCCAAACTTCCAGCCTGATTTCATTAGGTGTACACAACCAGGAGAGAGCATGGAGCGAATTTCAGCTTTGAGAATAAACTGGTTCCATAAAATCAAAGTAAAAGGAAAATTTTGACAAGGTACAGCAGCTTGTGTGGTTAGTTGCAGCAGTGATCTGCAAACTGTTCCCACAGCTCTTATTAGCAGATCTAGAGCTTAAGTTTTTCCAGCTAGTATGTGCAAAAGAAAAGTCTGTGATGTAGGTCAAGCTACAGTCTCAAAGTTCAGAATATTCTGCATCTTTATATATTTAATATTTACATGAAGATGGTGTGTGTGTGTGTGTGTGTGCGTGTGTGTGTAGACCAGACAATCCCAGCATTCATCACACTCTGCCTTTATCTAACACACTCTGTTTTCAGGTCTTTCTTTCCTTTTCCAGCTTCTATAGACCTGTGTGTTTTTTGGCCTGCTGCTGTATGCGTGTGCTTTCGTTTACCACAGCTAAAACTGCATCTGTATTTATATAGAAGCAGTAAGAGTCATGTAGCTCAGTGAGTCATCAGGCCAGGATAAATGTTGGCTCTCCGTGTGGAGGGGAAGTCTGCAGTCCCACTGCGTGAGTGCATCACATAGGCTCACCTTTAACAATAGAAACAACTCGATGCAAAAGCAGCTGCGTGTCGCAAGTGCTTTGCATCGCTGGTAGGAACAACTGCAGAGCAGCTGGATGGGTAAAATGAGATGATCAAAAGGGTTAAAATTTGGTATTTTCCCTGCAGCTCACGTTCAAATAATGCTGGGAAACTTTTCAGGATGAGGTGAAGGAGAATGGCAGCCTCTGTCTCACACCACTGTTGTTGTACTTTTTGGTGTTTAGGAGTATAAATACATAAACAGATGTATTAAGTTAGGGGCACCTGCATACCACATACTGTAAGTTTATACAAAGTTATCTAAGGTTGAAATAAGCCTTTCACATATTAATTATTTGTTGTAATCATCTTCAACATTCGCTCCACTACACATTATTATACACATTGTTCATTTTCCCCAAAGCATATCATTGATCTATTCATCTCAAAGCGAATTAATCGTCAACAATTGCTATAATTGTTTAATATTTAATAAATTATTCGTCAAGCACAAATAAGAACCACACGCTGAGTCCAGTGTATTATTGTGAAAGGAATATTTCTGGTTCTTTTTATACAATGTGAAGATGCTAACCTGAGTCATGGTAAATTCAGATTGTCTGGTCTCTAGTTTGGGACAGTTTTATACTAAACCTAAAAAGCCAGTTGACAGATTGATGCTTGTGTTAGTCCTCCTTTCCTGCAGACTGTTCTCTCCAACAGCCTGCAAAATTCAACGTTCTGGGAACAGACACAAAATACAGCATGTTCCTTTCAGCTGACCACATCCCCCCAGCCCTCCCCACTCGCTCAACACTGACCCTCTGTGCCACCAGGTTTAACACTCTGTGGAAACAGAGCAGCGACCAGGGGCCGCAGCTGACTAAATCCCAGACTGCTTATGCAACCAGCGGGCCGAGCCGGAGCACATTCGACGAGCCAAGGCAACGATCACAGCCACGTCCACCCCCACTGATGCAGCCGCGCTGCCCTCCAACAATAACAGCTTAATTTTTTTTGCATTTCAGTGACTGTTTCTATTCTCCTGATAGATGTGCTGCGAAGAAACACATTCCTGCCTTCCACGTGAGAAACTGCAGCAACAAAAATATTTAGCCTTTAAATGTTCTGGACACGTTTGATTTGTCTTCTATTTATTAAAAAAAAGCTGCTGACTGCTGCACACGCACATAATCAAAGTGACTGTGTGTAAATGTGCACTGGCAGGGAGCAGAGGGAGGCCAGCAGCAAAACACCAGTCAGTGTGTGTGTGTGTGTGTGTGTGTGTGTGTGTGTGTGTGTGTGTGTGTG